TTTTTAAATTGTTGCCACGAAATATTATTGCCCTGCATTATATTTAAGGAAATTAAGTAATGAAGAATCTCCATGAATGTATGTATGTTTCTCGCATTATGGTAAAACGACTGTATGTAGAGCCATCAAATTTTGAATACCGTAATCCTCCACCCGAACATGGCCATCTGGATACCCGAATTTTGAATTTCGAATTTATTTTATTATCTCTTTCTTATTTTATAAAACTTTAACGAATTTTTTATTAAAAAAAAGATTTCAAAGCGAGCAATGGCAACACTATACGAGAAGAAAAACATTTTTATCTCCAGTGCGCGAGACTATCTGTCGGAAATTCTACAGATATGCTCATTTTAAAATTATTTTATGATATTGCTGTAGAATTGAATTTTATATGGTTTAAGTATGAAGAACATGACATTTATTAAATAAAGGTAGCACACAAAACGTTAGAAAACGTCCTTTCGGGTGTGTTTATAAAATCTGAAGCTTCCAGACTTTTACTTGGGTGTTTTTTTCCCCTCTCTCTTCAATTTGTGTACGATACCTATATATGATCTTCGATTTTATTATTAAGTATAGGGAAGTTACGGGAATAAAACTTTTTGTGCTTTGCCTTTTGTAACGAATGCAGAATTTTGTTTAAATATAAGCACTTTGGCAGCTGAGGAAGCTCGCTTTTTGTACTTTGACAGCTGAAGATGATGGTTCGGTAAAACCATCGAAACTAGTCCTGAGAAAATTTGCAAATATAACGCTGCTTTTTGTTTTATGACTTCTAAATTAATATAAGTATAGGAACCGGGGTAGGGTATAAAAAGTTAGATTTCGTATTTTATATAAAATTAAATTTTTTAATTAAAAAAATGCAAAATGAAATCTACGAATATAATGTCTATGAAGGCCGGCTGCGAAAATAAAGACCGGGTAATGACTTCTGGGGATGCAATATATTGGATCAGTTTTAAGGAAATAAAGGTTTTATTTCACATCTTCCGATTGCCATTATATATAAAACTTCGTGGATCAAAGTAAACCCTGATTTGCTTTAAATTGGCTATATCCGGCAAATAGCAATTTAAGATCGGAAGGAAAACATTTGAAAGCAACGCACTCCTTCGTCATCGATACGGTGTGTATAAAAGTTAATGGAATGAGTTTGAACATAAAATGAATTAAAAGGAAATTGTCCAGCGTCCCTTTTGCGGATTATTCTATGTCGGTAAGGCAATCTGAAAATTTATTTCATCTGATCACGTTACATCTTGGGAGATGATTAAATAATGAAATCTTACACAAATTTTGAAATTTATTGAAAAATGAATAAATCTATTTAATGCAAATTCCATGCGTATAACTAACTGTCTTGAGTAAAATGTGACGAACATTCGTATCATTAAAATTAACTAAGCAACAGCCACGTGCTTAGCTTAGGTTTGGTCACAAATCAAATTCGAAAATTAGTAACAAATCAATTTTAAATCATAAATCAATTTCAATTTCACAACAAATTTCGAAGGTATACAAGTACAGGTTCCTCTTCATCAGGAAAAAAGAAATCTGCAAGACTGGAAAGCAGCCAATTTCCAGTACCAATATTGATTTATGGCTGGTTTATCCCCCGAAGTTACCAGCTAAGTTGAAGTATTGCCTTAAAAGCGAATGAGATTGGTGAATACATGGTAGGTATTGTGTCCAAGGGACAGAGACTTGGTGTCGGAAAGTAGAAAAAAATGACACTTTGTCACCATGAAGAAGGAATCAGCAGTGCAGCGTAGCTGGTCGTCGGTCATGAGTGAAATAAAAACGTACGTCGTACAAAATACTGTGGTAAAAAAATGAAGCACCTACAAATCATAGCATGGTGATAGTATCGCATATGTGCATTTTATGATTACAAACATTTTAAGTGAATTTTTTTTTTTAGTTTGGGTAATGACTTGTAAGATCAAATAGTAATTAGTAATATATTAACCCTTATATTTCATATTTTGTTATCAGTTAATAAATGCTTAATGAAAAAGCAAGACGGAAACTTAATTCAAAATCTGAAAATGAATGTTAAGTATATGACGTAATAGAATATTAAATTTATGTTGCTGATCATCAAAAGGTATTATTTAATATTATTTAATAAACCTCCTTAAATAGATGCATTTGTAGATTTTCATGAAAAAATGTAAAAAAAAGATTACAAGATTACAAATAAGTAGATACATAAGCTTAAAATTCTATGAGCTGCTATACAAAGCATTAATATTTACTAAAATCCAGATTTTGAATGCTTCTGGGTCCTTTTCAGTAAAATTTTATTAGTTAATATAAAAATATGAAATAAAAGTAAAAATATTATTTACTTCTTCTTGCGCTCTCAGATCACTACTCGAAGGTTAACTAGACTTTTTTTTCCAATTCCGAAAACCTGTGTCTGCCATGTTATCATTATTTGATGATTTGTAAGCGCTTTACTTTTTACCACAATATTTTACATAACGTTTTAAAACTAAAGTTCTTGTACTGCTTTATTTTCTATCACGGTAATTTATACCATAATATTTTACAGCTACGGTGTTTTCTCCTTACGATTGTTTTTTCATGATGTTTTCCACATACGACAACATTTTCCCCCCTTGTGTTGTTTTCTGGCAACGATTTTTGTAGGTCAAGTTTTCTCCCTGCTCTTTTTTCCACTCCCCCCCCCCACGATAAGTTTTCTCCTTGCGCTGTTTTCTGGAAACCTGTTCGTCCATCAGATTTTCTCCTTGTTTCTCTCTTGTTCTTGCACAATGAGTTTTCTCCTTGCGTTGTTTCCACGAACGTTTTCGTCCTTCATGTTTCCCTTTCTTTTTTTTCCACACGCTGAGTTTTTCCCTAGCGCTATTTTCTGATAGGTGACGGAGGACGGGGACGCCTAGTGTTAACAGAGGTAAACAGACATATATCCCGCGTCCTCCTCTATCCAGAGGCAACAACTCCATGGAGCCGCACGAGGCCGCACCGGGTGTTTATATAAGATTTAAGAGAGGTTTACAAGACCATACAGGGGCAATTGTTTAACATAAGTTGGTGGATTACATATGCAGTGGAGGTGACATACAAAGTACATTACATAGTGAATAACACATAAAAATACAAAATAGAAAACAAATACATACACGAACACAACCAAGTAAACACATAACACACACTGAATACAACACATATACACACACATAATACATAAAATAAAAACATAAGCACATGTAGACATATAATACGGGTATAAAAAGAAGACTGAAAGCCTAAGAACTACTCTAGGACGTGGTACATATCGCAGGGATAAATACTTAAAGTTGTTTCGGTGCATAATGCGGGACTGCTATTTTCTGGCAGCGTTTTCGTCCTTTATGTTTTCTCTTTGCTTTTTCTTCCACGTTGTTTTGCACAATGAGTTTTCGCCTTACGTTGTTTTTTATGCGCCCATTTTCGTTCTTTATGTTTCCTCCTTGCTTTCTCTCTTCCACCATGTTTTGCACGATGAGTTTACCCATTGCGTCATTTTCTCGTAACGGTTTCGTTCGTTACGTTTTCTTGTGGATGTGTTAATGTTGTGTTATTAAAGGATTCGTATTTCCTTAGCAATACTTTAAAAATAGAATATTTGGTAATATACTTATCCTATTTTAGGCCATCCCTACACGAGGCGCCGACGCAAAGTTGTAGTTTTCCTGCCTTTTATCTATTAACTAAATGTGGAGGAATACAGTGAATTACTAAGAGCATAATCGCTTTAAGTCCAGAGACAAACGTAAAACTCAAGAAGGGTCAATTACCCTTTATTGCTCAAAATAAAGATACACATTCGGTCCCTTTCTCAGGGCGTACAGCAAAGCCTTCAACTGGGCTTAAACTCAAAAGTGTAAGAAATAAGAACTTAACTAATGACTAACTAAAACGATTTAGCCGAAGCTAACGCTAATCTAACTAGTTGGTCCCTAAATATCAAATTATCTAGTGAAGCTACCAAGGACCCATAATACGGCCGAGCGTAACAACAGCTTAAAGAAACGTGGACAAAAGGCAAACTCGCGCTAGTTAGAAACTCTGATGCTCTCTTTCGAAGTCAGTGGAACTTCGACTTAAATACTACACCTTCGCATTTGCATTTAACGCGCTTCTAAGAACATATTCTGGTAAGGAATTTGCAAGCTGAAATTAAGAGAGATTGGAAAGGAGCTTTAACTTAATAACTGGTATAAACTTAGGATAAACCTTACAAAGTTTCCGGCATAAACTTGTTGCTTGACAGCAGTTATGTGCACTGGGGGATCTGAAAAGTAGGGAAGGTGTGAATGACTATTTATTAGAACTAAATAAGAACAGATGGAATGCCTGTGCTTAGAACTCCACCTTATTTACGTTACGAAATCCTTTAGTTACTTAGAGACAGCACGGAATAATTGCTTACATAGTCATATGCGAAACATCTTGCGTTTAAAATAATGAATGAAAACAGGGAAAAGTATAGCTAGCTGAAAGCGATACACGCTATAAAAGATATCAGTAGAGTTTTATTGAGAATCTATGTCATTCTATGTTTTAATTGCTTAAATTTAAAGTTTAGCTGCTGTTTTTATTTAATAACTAGAACGAAGTTACCATAAAATGCATCTATATTTTTAGGATTGTTCTGATTCGTATGTTTTATGTTTTCTAAGAGAAGTGAATGCTCCTTAACAAAACAAATCACGATTTTTTTCTGCAATTTTTATACACTCTGTAGCATTACAACTATATAAAAACAGCGTTATTAAGGAAGCGGGTGAAAAATAAATTTCCCATTCAATGAGATTGAAATCTTTGTATGAGGGTTGTGTATGTTTTCTTTTACTTTTGAATTCCTTTCTAAGCTTCCTATCCTATTAAAACAACGTGTATTTTAGTACATAAATAGGAAAAGAATTTATATCTTTCTTTAACAGTAGATGCTTATTATATTATTATTTTTGTTTATTTTTCAGCCGTCTGAATCGACTTTACAATTGGCGCCACCACAAATAACATCCTCCGCCAGCCAGCTGTATGCGATACCAACAATGCAAGCATCAAGGCATCAACAAAGAAACCAAATGTATGATGATGACGCGAATCCCTACGGTCGAATAATTAGAACATTACAAAAGCACAACAGTCTGGTAAAATATTTATCTTCCTGTTCTTTATCCTTAGCTAATGCCTCCAGAACTGTTGAGCTATGTTTCCAAATATTTATTATGACAGAGAGTTTTATGTTGGCAATTCATTAGTTATTTCGCTAAAACTATTGTTTATGCAATTATAGTTCATTTATGATTATAATTACGAGACATGTTTCGGGAGCTCTTAAACTGTTTCTCTTTATTTCTAAACTAGATAAAGAATAAATAACTCTTCGTTAGTCTAAATCAGCCATCTAAACAAAAACTGGAAAACATTAGTACCTCCACTGTATTTTACGATGATTACACCTGTCCCTCGATTTACACGGAAGATAGGTTCCGTAGAAAACCGTGTAAACCGAAATCTTGGAGTTTGCCATGTAAAACCATGTAACATGAAAAACACACTAAATGTGCATAAGGGGACTCATACAGCTTAAACCCCTTATGATCTTCGAATATGTGACTGTTGCTAGAATTGGGATATTTTATTTATTTTAAAAGCAATTACTTCCAGCGTTTTACAACTGACTACAAATTATATCTGCTTTGGGAACTAGTAACCCGAAAGTTTGTGTTGCCACAAATATTGTTATAATTTAGTCCGCTTTGTGACAAAATGTTTCGTCACGTTTCCACCTTGCGCGCATGATATTTTAAAAATGGCTAATGGTACATATTTGAAATTTTATGGAGTTCTTTATATGGACACTATATTCTAACTGAACCAAAAATCTGATGAATATTTTAATATTAAAAAATTTATGCACGAAAACATAACAGATTTTTTTAACAAAATACATTTTATAAACTCAACTCAAAATAAAATAAAAATTTAACATGAAATTCTTAGAATTTTTGGTTCACAGTAGTTTCAAAATGTTATAAAAGCTATATATTAAATACATAATTAAATTATGCAACAGAATATTTTAAACTGTGCGCGCAAGGTGGAAACATGCCGAAAAATTTTGCCAGAAAGCGGATTAAATTATAAAAATATTTGTGGCAACACAAACTGTCTGATTATTTCCGAAAGCAGCTATATTGTGTAGTCAACTGTAAAAAGATGGAAGTAATTAATATCTTTTAAAATAAATAAGTTATCCCAATTCTTGCAACAGTCACATATATGAAGACCTTATGGGTTTTAAGGTGTATGAGTCCCCATAAAACAAAAGTGAGACATCTTAAAATAAATAAAGTTATACTTTGTTCATAAAATAAAAAATATATATATAGGTAATAGAAGTACATATTAAATTTATTTTACAATAGGAAAATATAAGATCATTCACAAAAATTATTATAAGTTTGATAACTGTTACCACTTTCATGAACTATTAGTTTTTTCTTCTTGATTGGTATGACGTCACTTTCATCACTTGAGCGTTGTTGATAAGATTTTGCTTCAATGGTTGACGAATTAGGGAAAATCTCAGATCGATTGGTATGACGTCACTTTCATCACTTGAGCGTTGTTGATAAGATTTTGCTTCAATGGTTGACGAATTAGGGAAAATCTCAGATCGACAAGACTTTATAGTGAAAATTCATAATTAACAATTGCGTAGGTTTTTGAAGCCTTTGTAAACCTCCTCATGTTCATTTAAGCACTTACTAAGCTCCCGTTGGAAGCGGAGAGCTCGTTTAACATTCGTGTCATATTGCAAAAAAATGATTACCTAATTTTCTTTTCTCAGCTCAAGTCCCACGCTGATGACTCTTGCTGTGAACGCAACTGGTTCAAATTGCTCTTCATTAGAATCATTGTCTTCAACATGTTTATTTCTTTCATGAGTCATGTTATCAGGACTTGTGTTTCTCTTGATTTGCTTTGGGAACATAGTGCGTCCTGAATAAGAGCAGGGAGCTTACTCAAGCTATATTCAAGATTTGTGTATAACAGACGACACAAGCAGGAAGGCTATACAAAACCCTTTATTTTCAATACTTTACAGGTACTACCGAACTTCGGGATACAGAGACCAACCACTTGTGGTCTGAACGTAAGAATATAAAACTACTAACTAAAACTTTAACTAAAAGCTAACTTTGAATTAGTATAGAAATGCCTAGCACTAAGACTGGCCTTTAAAAGGGTACGTATGTAGTACGCCGAGCTGCTGAAACTACAGTACGTTTTCAAATATCAAGAGGGCTAAACCTCTGGCCTTAAAGGCAACCAGCAACCGAGTGAAAACTCGTAAAACTGCAGTAGCAAGCGGCTTGCTTCCTAAATCTCCTTCTCTCTCTCTCTTGGCAAAAAGCCACAACTTAAGTACTTGGGCGTTAGCAAGACAATTTGCATAAACAAGTTAAAGCATTTAATTCTGGCCGGAAGTGGAAAATAAGAAGTGATAGTATAGTTTTAAAATAAAATAAACGTTAGTAAAACTTAGGTTCCTTACAGTGTTAACTAACTCATCCTCACTGAGTTTTTCATCAGTCATAATTTCTTCAATATCTACCTGAGCTAAATCGTCAAAACTCCTATAGTTCCTATAGTTTGGGCCACTTTAGTGATATGAGAAAATTCATGCTCTAATGGTAATATATAATTCTTATCTTTAGCAGCATCTGGCCATATTGCGTTTATCGTTGATTTTGTAATTTGAGCATATGACAGTCCAACATGCTTAACATTTGCCAATTCCACCAGTACATTATTTTGTAAGTCATATGAAAATAACATATTTCCTTCGGGGTGTCAAAGGGGTCTATAAATACCTGAATTTCATACAAAGGGCTCTTGACTGCATTTTTAATGATATCCTATTGTAATGAGCAAGCATTATTGATTCATAATGCAGTAAGTATGAAGCTTGGAATACAGTTCGATAGCTGCCAGTACTCTATACCCTCTTACAGAACGCATTACCTCTCAAGACCATATTCACGTTGAAATAATTGAAGCAAAATTAGATATTCAGATTATCTACAGCACATTTATCTCATTGGTTTCCAAAGTGTATTTGACAGATAGCGAAGAATAGCACCGAATGGTCGCTTGCTTGCATAAGACTTATTAGCTTTTCGATTACGTCTGGAATTAATAAATATTTCCTTCTGTTTTCTCAAATTATCATAATTTCTCAGGTCCTATACCACATTTATTTCTTTTGTTTTCGGAATTGAAGGAAATGTTTACTCAGAGTGTTCAACGTTTATTAACTAACGGCAATACCCCATGGATAACTGCAAGTATTTCATGCATATTAGTATTTCCTGCCCATTTATTCGAGAATAATAGCCCATATAAATGGGCTATTATTCTCGAAACGGCATTTTGCTTTGAATCACCATAAAAGGCGTATCACTTTTCAAATTATTGCCAACAAATATCATCGCCTTGTATTACATGTAAAGAAATTACATAATAAAAATCTGCATGAATGTATGTATATCCCTCGCACTGTGAGAAAATAACGTCACCTAGAGCCATCGAATTTTGAATAACGTAGTCCCCCACTCGAATGTGGTTATCTGGAAGCCCAAATTCGGATTTTAGAATTTGTTTCATTACCTATTTCATATTTTGTAGAATTGTAATAAGGTTTTGATCAGCAAACTCAAGGATCTAAAAGTGAGCAGTGGCAACACTGTACGAAATAAAACATTTTTATTGTCAGCGCGCGCTTTTGTCTATGGAAAATTCTAAAGATATGCTGATTTTAAATATTTGGTGATTTTGCTGTGATGTTACGTCGCGCAATTGCGAAGATCGTGTTATTTAATAAATAAAGTTAACACACAAAACATTAATTATAAAAAGACAAAAAAAAGTTGCTGGACATATTACTAAGAAAACTGAACACTGATATGATGAACTGATAAATGTGTAAATAAATATAAAAATGTATTCCAGTACTTAAACCTGCATCGAAAATTCTAAATTTTGTTAAATTAAATAAAAAATTTTGCGATTTTGCTGTTGAATTGTATATGGCGTAAGTGTGAAGAAAATGATGCTTAGTAATGAAACTAAAAAGACAAAATAAATGGATTAGTAGAAGTGAAAACAGCTGCAGACTAAGTAGACTGCGGCCTCAGCGAGAGTATAAAAAGACATTAAGTGATTGACGAGTATACTCGTCATGGAGAAGCGGAACGATTTTGTGTATTGACGAGTATACTCGTCAAGCGTATAATGAAATGGAAAAATAAGAGGGAGGTTTATTTAGTAAATACTGTACATAATGACAACGTAATACAAACAGAGAAAAGAAAAATAATAACAAAAACACCGGAGCTAGTGATTGATTATAATAAAAAAATGGGTGGAGTGGATATGAGCGATGAAATTAAATTATCATAACGTACTCCACAGTAAGAAAACGACTCAAAAAGTGCTATAAAAAGATATTAAAAGATATTTTTCCATTTCTTAGACATTATGTGCCTGAATGCATTCATATTGTTACGTTTTTTTTCTATTCTTTTCTGACACTAGTTGTTGCGTTATTTTCTTCCTTCACTTCACGTTCGTACGGGGTTCGTAGATTTGGAGTGAATAATGACGACACTACTTGATGAAGTATCGAAACACACTTTATTAGCCAATATTAATCAGGACAGCTCCAATAACACTTACTTTTACAGTCGTCAAAAATCTACTATAAACACGCTAACACGATCAGCGACACAGCCTTCAGGTTATCAGGCTATCAAAGTGGAGACAGCTTCCTGCAAAGCAGCCGATCCTGCTTTCCGGAGTACACCTCCCGACTCTGCTTGGTCGTTCTCGGTACTCCACGTACTCTTGAAACTCTCCACGCTACAACTCGCGATGCACTCGACGACACACAGAGCACGCTCCCGACTCTCGGTTCAGTCGTTTCCGGAGCTCAACTCGCTCTCTCGACGATGCACTAACCGCGATACTCTACGAGGCTCTTTCGGTGCACTCGACGACCCACTCGGCACTCGCTGCCCGGCTGTCAACTCGATCGCCTCCGCAGGGATTGACTCGCTAGACGAGACACACTCACTCGATAAGAGACGCACACTTCCTCTCGATGAAGCACACCCTCTGACTGCAGACCAGCACGGTTTATATAGCCTTCGGCCTTGTGTTCGGGAACATTCTGGACTAAACCGGTAAGAATTCGTTCCAGAAGGTTCTCCAACCGTCCATGGTATATTGCCAAATGTCGCCAAATGTGGCAACCCTACCCTCCTTGCTATTTTATAGCAACCCTAAAACTGCTTTGCGGGGAAGCCATCTCACCGCGCCTTGACATTTCGTAACAATATTATATAAAATAAATAATGGAACATTATCGCGTATCAACTTTGTGCACAAATTTATTGAAGACACTTTTGCGACGTATCCAATTGAAAGAAATAAATCGACACAAAAACTCGGCCATTTAGACCTAATATAAGCCAACTAAGCGGCAATCATGTTCCGGATTATTCACCCGGAACATCGAAAAAAAAAAAACCCTACGCGAAGGTGTTCGCATTGCTACAAACGTAAGATCAGGAAGGAATCGCGTTACTGGTGTTCGATTTGCAAAGTCCCCTGTTTCGCTGAATATCACTCCACAGCAGTAATTTAAATTCTTACTTTTATATGTATAATATTTTATTTAATTTATTGCGTTTTTAGTTTAATATGTATGTCATATGTGCTTATGTTAACCAATTAAGTCAATATTAGTAATACAATTTTCAATTTTATAAAATAAACCCATTTTTTTCATCCAATATCTTACCAGCGCAACGTACTCTGTGATTGACGAATATACTCGTCATGGCTCGATTCTGGCGACACAAAACGGTGCACGCTCTTAAACGAGGCCGCCATAGTTAACTGGTTAACAAACCCTTTTGGACGACCGTTAAAATCTGAAACATTTCAGACTTTTTTTAAAATTTATCTATTTACAAATGTGTATTTTTTGGACATCTGGCATTTAAGCCATTAGACTTCTTTCTTCTGCATACATCAGGATGACAGAATTAAAACTGTTAGGTGAGAAGTAGGTATTTAAATGCTCTTTGGTCATGGGTTGCCCAGAATCACAAAAGGAACACATTGGGGAACTTCTGATTTTAATAAGAAAAAGATTACCATCGAGGCCACCATTTCCAGTCAAAAGACAGAATATAATGCCTCAGCGCTGTGTGTTCATTAGAGTTGTAGGATTCTCCACTGTGTAATTCTAAGTTACAGTTGAAACTGAAGAATCTTAAGAACTAGTAAGCGAATAATCGCTTGAGTTCGAGTAACAGCAAGTAAGAAAGGTGAATTAACCCTTTATTATTGCAACTAAAGTTTAACAAAACTCCGTCTTGGAGTTGTACAACAAAGCCGACACTTGGGCTTGAACTTTAGAGACTAAGAATCAATTAAACTAATCTTAGCTAAAGAGATTAGCTGAAGCTATCAAAATTCTAACAGAGTTGGCCCCTTAACTCTAATTAACTGCAAAACTATCAAGGGCCTATAGTACGGCCGAGCGTAATAATAGCTTACGAGAGAGTAGCGTAAGAAAGGCGGACGAGTGCAAACCAGCAATATCCTGGTATCTCTCTCTCTAAGACCCAGAGAACTTCGCGGTTTAAATACCGATCCTCCTCATTATGTATTTCGGGAAGTGATTCTAAAACTACGTTTCTGGCCGGAAGTGGTAAAGTTGAAGCTTAAGAATTTGATAGGAAAGGAAGTTTAGCTTCAAAATTTAACTGTTAATAAAATTAACAAAATAATTACAAAGTAATTTTTTAAATTTTTCATATTTAGTTGTTTTGGATAAATATTGTTACGAATTTTGTATTTAGACAGGTAATTTTAGTAGAATTATAATTAAAATTATTTTATTTTTCTATGTAATTTAGCGTGAGACAACATTTTTAGAGAAAGCTGTGCCGGAAAAGTAAGAATACAGGGGCACATGCATTTAACATTGAGTAAATGGGTATCTCGGTAATTTGTATTGAAATTGAGTAAATGTAATTGACCACTATGTTAGATGTAACTGGTAATTTCACTATCATATTGCTTTCCTGTAATTTCGAGAAGCAGAAAGTACTAGAAATATATCGCAGCCGGTTGAAAACTCTTGACGGCCGAAGAGAAAGCATGTGCTCTCAGTTGTTTAGTTAGCTGCTGTTGTTCTTGTTGTGAGTTTAGAGTGATTAGCTTTCTCTTTAGATACACTTTAGATAGATAGATTGTTTTTAACGTTTTTAGTAGTTTGTAGTGTAACTACTGATTAGACTGTGAACAAACACTCCTACAAATATCTCTGAGGAAAATTCTAGAATTCTGAAATATTGCTTTTGATAAAAATAAATTTTTATTAACCTATTAACGGACGTGTGCTAATTACGAACCTATTGTTACGTTTTTCTTTTTCTGACACCAGTTATTGCGTTTTTCTTCTGACACCAGTCGTTACGTTATTTTCTTCCTTCACGTTCGTACGGGGTTCGTAGATTTGGAGTGAATAACGACGACACTTGATGAAGTATCGAAACACACTTTATTAACAAGTATTGTCAGGACAGCTCCAAAGCACGTTTTATAGTCGTCGATGAACTACTATAAACACGCTGGAACAATCAGCGACACAGCCTTCACACTGTCAGGCAATAACGGTGGAAACAAGCTTCCTGCAAAGCAGCCGACTCTGCTTTCCGGAGTACAGCTCCCGACTCTGTTTAATCGTTCTCGCAACTCCACGTACTCTCGAGACTCTCCACGCTACAACTCGCGATGCACTTGACGACACACGAGCACAGCTCCCGACTCTTCGGTTCAGTCATTCCCAGAGCTCAACACGCTCTCTCGACGATGCACTAACCGCGATACACTGTAGACTCCTTCGGTGCACTCGACGACCCACTCGGCACTCGCTGCCCGGCTGTCAACTCGATTGACTCGCTAGACGAGGCACACTCACTCTCGATGAGAGACTGCGGACCAGCTGGGTTTATATAGCTTTCGGCCTGTGTTCGAGAACATTCTGGGCTAAACCGGTAAGAACTCGTTCCAGAAGATTCTCCAACCGTCCGTCACATATCGCCAATTTTTCCGCCAAATGGGAAATTTCTCGCCAAATGGGACAACCCTGTCCTCTTTTGCCATTTTATGGCAATCCTGAAACTGCTTTGCGGGAAAGCTATCTCACCGCGCCTGTACATTTCGTAACACTATTATTTTGTAATCTGTTACGAACCTGTATTCATGCAACAATATATTTTCCACATTTATATTTTTATATATGTATTATATAGTGATCCACTGTATAATACATATGTAACTTGCTTTGTTTTAAAATGAGTTAAATTATGCTATAAAATGTCTTCAGTTTTCTTTTTTCTTTTCTTTTAGAATCATTCCGGAGGACTGCACTATGATACTCTCAACTCTGAATGCGCTTCTTCAGACGACATTGGATTTCCATCCGTACCCAGCAATTCTTTTGTTTATCATGGTTCTTTTCCAGACAGATCCATTTATAGATAACCAGACATTTACTGGAATATATACCTTCTGGATATCTCCTTTATTTTAAATTAAAACTGCTTCTTTGCTAATATAAGGAAATGGAAATTTCTTACGAGAAGTTGTTGCAATTCCATCCGTCGAGGTTTTCGTCAAGGACACAAGGAAGATCAATTATATAAAGTCATTCAACGTCTGGTGTGTGCTTTTGAATCGATTTTTCTTTAAGGATGAAAACACTCAAAATATTTCCACGAAAACAAGTTATTTTTAGATGCATACGAATTTTTTTCATTATTTATTACACTTGATTTCGAAGAATATTTTTTTTTGTTTAATTTTCATAGGAAAGAAAACTTCTTAATCTTCGCCGATACTTTAAATGTTTACAAAAGCATACTTTCAAAATATTTCTCGTATGTTGCTTATTCCAAAATGCATTGCTGAATAGAGGAAAAAATCAGATATGTTGTTCTTAGCAACATTTATTGTTAAAAATATCTCTTCTTTTAATAATAATTTATTTATTATTTATATTCTTTCTCATTTTATAAGCTTTTCATAGCAAATATTTTCAAATTCTTTAAACATTTTTTTTTTTTTTTTTCGGAATCAGGCTGAAAACATTCCTATGTATCGATTTGTTTTTATTATTTTTTTTCCCCTTTATGTTTAACCATTGTATAGTTTTAAGTGAAAATATATGAAAATTTTAGAAGATATGTGTCGGAATAACGTATGAAAATGCAATAAATTTTGTATATAGTTCATTATAAATATACGTATTTTCACTGTTTCCAAAAGTTTGAATTTTTTATTGTATTAAAAAACTGAGAAATGTAAATTTCTTCTAAATGCATTATAAGTGCGTATTTGTATTACGAAGCGATCGCCCTCCTTTTTTTTTTTTTTTTTTTTTTTGAAAAAATAATTTTGTTAGAATGTTTTCGCCTTCTGTAAATATAATAATTGCCTATATACGTGCTACAGAGTCACATTAAAATTTAATTAAATATTGTTATAATCTTCTCTCAAGGATTACTTGTAAATGGGTGTTTACCAATAAACCTGAAAACTTTTCTACAGACTGTTGAAATTTCTTTTGATTGATGGCAACGTTTTCAGATATAAATATTTTAGGAACCATTTTTTTATACAGACGGGAATAAAACTGCTTCATACACGAGAAAAGATAAAAAATAGCTTTATTATTTTCTTGTGTTCACTTCTGCTTTCAGATGTCAAAAGAAATAAAAATAAAGAAGTAAATAAGATAAAGAAATGCTTGCCTGGAATGTAAAACGAAAATCCACATTCACAATCTCTGCTGAATTTACTTCCAATTCAACATTCGAACTTTTGCTTTAGTGAAAATGTTGAACTCTTTTCCGAAAATTCGTGACAGAGTTTATACATTTTTCTCTGAAGACATTTTGAATTACAGTCTGGAGAATGTTTTGAATATTAAAGTTTTTATTTAAACTTTTCTTGATTACTTGAAATATATTTGAAAGTAAGTTTGATTTGGTTTATTTCATTATGGCAAAGCCCGCAAAGGCTATATACCTAAGTGGAGGAATGCCTTCGCGGAGGACTTTCTAAGGTAAACTGGTTCTTGTACACAATACAGATTATTTAATAGTAGGAATCAATGATTTTTAACCATCTTTTTGTTTGCATTATTCGAATCGCTTATTGGCTAAATTAAGTCTTTGAGAGCACCTGCTAGGTCAAATGTATTACTCTCGTGCTTCTGAAAAGTCAGAAGTATGGGGGCGTAACTGACGGGACGTAATTTTATTAAGCGAGAAATCACACATTTTTAAAGGAATGTGTTTATTCACATATAAAGATATCAAAATATGCGCCAATTGAAATTTCTTTAAAAATTAGTATTAATCAAATTGGAAATGAGAACTTGTTCCTGGACAGTGCGAAAACGCTTAGTCTACAGAGGCTGTTCGCACATTTTTTAGACGATTTTGGTAATCGGTAATAAAACATCGTTTGCTGCAAAAAAAGTAATTACAATTGTACTATGTTTTTAAAAGTTAAAATTATCTTCTGTGGCTTGAAAGTTTTGTTTTTATTCAAAATGGCGAATTTAACAAAGTAGTGGTTCGAAGGCTACATTTACTCTCTTTCCGAAGAGAAATATGCATACTCCGTTATCCAAAACCGATGTGAGAGTCATGGTTTTGTGATATCTAAAGCGTCGATAGGCAATATCATCAACAAGGAAGGAAAAAAACGTCAAATTGGAGCCTCAAGTGGGACAAAAATTCCAAACAAGTTCCAAGGAAAAACGGACATCTTCGACTATTGCAAAGGTACGTTGTTTAATGTTAAAAGAAAATCCCCCTAGTCAAAGGACAGTTGCAAAATCATTAAAATGCTCGGTGTCCACTGCAAATAAAATGATAAACGTTGATTTAAATCTTAAGAAAGCGAAAAAAACGCAATGCGCATCATCTTCTTCCAAAGCATATCGCTCAACGCAGGATACGCTGAAGAATCTACATGAGAAACACAAGAAAAATGGAAAACAATTGTCACAATAGATGAAGCATGAGTGTATTTAAATGACTGTAACAAAAAAGAACCATTTATTATCATAAAAGGGGAGAAAAAATTTAAGTACATGGTTCAAAGAATCGAAAGAAAGTTTTTCTAAGGGATTCATGATTGTTGCTGGGTTTTCTTATAATGGAAAGTTAAAAATAAATAGAGTGCAAAAAAATGTCAAGATTAACTCCAAATACTATCAGAAACATATTTTATCGCCAATTTTTCTGAATGAAATACTATGGCTTTACCCACAGTGCCATCCATCTGTGACACTCCATCAGGACAAAAGTAGCAGTCACACATCAAAATCCACTGTAAATTTCCTAAAAGAAATGGAACAAAAACCTGGTATCAAGGCCATACCCTTCACTGATATCCCTACTAAATCTCCCGATGTGTCACCTATGGAGTTTTGTGCTTTCAGACTTTTAAAAACTGCATTATCCAAACGTTGTACCAAAAACCTAACAGGACTCTGGAAAGCTGTTCGGGAGGAATGGGATAGAATATCCCTTTTGCCACTTCAAAAGGCATTATTATCCTGAAAATTGCGGTGCGAAAGATAGTTCAGAATAAGGGATTCAAACAGAACATTTAAAACACAAGAATTTTATGTAGTTTTAGTTTTGTGAATACAATATACGTCGTCTAAAAAATATGTGAACAGCCTCTGTATTATGTATGAAATCTGTACCCCTGTTCTTTCCTGGACCTTTAAGCTGTAAGACATGTTTTTATGGCGCTTTTAAAGCATTACTTTGGACTGAGAAAAAAGTGACATTAAGTGGATACATTTTATATTAAATTAAAGCCCTCGAAGAGACAAGTCGTTTGGTATAAGTTTGAAAACTACGGAACAAGCCACTCAAATGTTATTTACATTTGAATTCTGGTATTTGTAAGTTTAGAATTTCTATCAATACTTTACCATATAATAACATATAACTGTCAATACTCAAACTTTTATATTAGCCTTAAATTTTCTCCTTCCAAACATATAAGTTTTATATAAAAATAATTTGAATTCTGTTAGTTACTAATTAAAATTTGATTTTGTTGAATTTTAAAAAAAAAAAGCCATTGTTGTTAAAATCATAACATGAATTAGTAAAATGCGCATGCAACAATTATTTATATATAATTGAAATAAATATATCTTACTTTGACTAAATAATATCTTACTTTATTTAACAAATATTATTAAATAATATTAAAATAGAGAAGGAAGAAAACAACTAATTTTAAATTCTTATCATAATTTTTATTATACTTCAATTCATCACCATTTTTATATACACACTTATATTGCCACGATATGTCGAGATCGTCCAGTCTCTCATTATTATATAACTATAATTCCAATATCCCTTATCAAATTAATCCGTTTGCTCAACTAAATCTATTACTATCACCTGCATCCTCGATATCTACGGAACAAGGTAATATCCTCATAATATCAGACACAACTGAAGAAAGACAAATGAGTATCCAAGATGCTTACGACAAATGCATAACGCTGTTAAAGAGTGACAACAAGCACAAAAGATATCTATCAAAAGAACTTTACAACAAAATTAAATCAATCGTTGAATTCCTAAAAGACTGTGTTTTAGACGTCTGCTCAAGCAAACCAACAGTACGAACACCCAATCTTCAAAATACTGCAACCTAACCATCAGCTATTCTACTGAACGATGCTTCAACATCACCTATAAATCTTTCACCTCTGCAGTTAAATCATCAGCACACTGATATCGTCTATTTCAAAGACTGTGCACCGAATAATTGCTCAATCAGACCCTCAAGACCGACACCCAATCATACTTATACTGAAAATGAACAGATATCACCCATATTTAATGAAGCTTCAACATCACCTACCAATACATCAATCAAACAGTCAAATTGGCATCACCTTGATGCTTGCAAAAACAACAAGAATTATGACATTTCAGCACCATCTACCAACAAGGCTTCATATGCACAAATCTTGTAACAAAAGAAGCAAGCTTAACAATACAGAGCTCGCCAGCAACTTAATTCATACAAGAATACCAAAACTAAGGACCCCTAAATGCTCAATTCATGAACTTTCACAAAACACAACAGCAGAAAGGGTATGCGCTACATTAGCCAAAGCAACGAACAGCGACATCACCAATTTTCGATCCCTATTAAAACTTAAAGACAAATTTAACGCGATTAAAATGCGTCAAAACTATCAAGTATCTTGGTATAATTATAGATTAAAAATTTACCTGGATACCTCATCTCCAAGATAAAAATTAACAACTCTCAAAATGACACACGCACTGAGGTCAATGAGAGGTTACTCCTGGGGCCTCAACTCCCATATTATGAAAAGGCTGTTGACAACCGTCGTAAATAAGATCATCACGTATGGGGCTGCCATGACACCGAGTAACTTTCTTCATAACCTGCACTGCAACCTCAACAAACCTCCACCATCTACTAAATTAACAGCATATACTGATGGATCGAAGATAGAGGACAAAGTAGGCTGCGGAGTCACTATAAATTCCGGGACAAGTACCTAAACTGAATGACAAGGTGTCCTTAGACACGAAAACAGCGTATTCCAAGCTGAGCTTACAGCCATTCTGAATGCTATCAAAGCTACTTCTACCAACACATACGGACACCATTCATGTGATCACTGATAGCCAGTCATCTATCTGTGCTATCAAACAGCAGTTCCCAAACTCAACAATTGTATATCTAATTCAGGATTTAATCCTCAACAACAACAACAAATTTATAATATCATGGACTAGAGGTCACAGCGCTTGTGCAGGAAATGAACGCTCTGACCTCTTAGGAAAAGACGCAGCTAACCACCAAATAGGCGCTCCAATCTCTATCCCGTGGCCCAATGTCAGCATTGAAATACAAGCTGAAACAACTTGCAACCGCACAATGGCAACATCAATGGGACCACGGGACAACAAGGAAGACGAACATATGAATTCGTCCTTAAAGTAGATGAAAGCATCACTTTTTCATCCTACTTCCTTTTCCAGTACATCTCGGGGGCCACGGCCTATTTCCACTCTACTTCTACAACAGACACAAAGCCTCCTCTGACAGATGTATTTGCAGAAGCAACGGGGACGCAGAGCACTACATCTTCAACTGTCCAATGACGTCTATTCACCATAGCCGTCATCCAAGCAACCCAGGTCTAGAATTCAGATTTCCAATCAAGCACCGAAAAACATTTAGTCAGATAAAGAACATCATCGACTACCTCCACAGTTAGATGAGAGCATAACTTTTTCATCCTACTTCCTTTCCCAGTACATCTCGGGGGCCACGGCCTATTTCCACACTACTTCTACAACACACACAAAGCCTCCTCTGACAGATGTATTTGCAGAAGCAACGGGGACCCAGAGCACTACATCTTCAACTGTCCAATGACGTCTGTTCACCATATCCGTCATCCAGGCAACCCAGGTCTAGAATTCAGGCGATTTCTAATCAATCACCGAAAAACAT